TGCCTGTTTAATCCCTGGTACCAAAAAAAAAAAAAAGGGGGGGGGGGGGGCTGGAGCTGGGTGTGGGACCCTGAGATAGGAGGATGGAAAGTTCAAAGCCAATTTCAGCAGCTTAGCGAGGCCCTAAGCAACTCAGTGAGACCCTGTCTCTAAATAAAATATAAGAAAAATGGCTGCAGATGTGGTACAGTGGTTAAGCACTCCTGGGTTCAATTCCTGGTACCAAAACAAACAAACAAAAAACCCCAAAAACCTATAAAAAGGGTTGGGGTGGGCTGGGGATGTGGCTCAGTGGTAAAGTGTTCCTGGATTCAATTCCTAGTACAATAAAATAAAACAAAACAAAAAATCCAAATAATAATAGTAAATAATAATGATAAATAACCTATAATACTAAAAAGGAGAATTGATTGAAACAGACAGCTATAAATACTCAGAGACTGCAACCTCAGACTTTGGTATGTGGTTTTATTTTTATTTGTTAATATACATGAATACTTTGTTTTCTTATTATGATTCAGATGTCATAAATCCCTTCCAATATTTTCTTTGATGTGAACACAAAACAGCTCACCTGTTCCCCTGGCACTCTTCCAGACCATATATGAGGTTAGGGCAATGGCCCAGGAAGAACCAGAATCCCTAGAGAAAACATGACATATCTTCCTAAAAGCTTTAATTTTATTCAAATATTTTAGTGGGAAAATTGAATAATTTAATTAGTAGGTAATTTCAGGTATTCTTATTTTAAAACAAATAAATGTATAATGCTACTCAAACTGATTAAATTTTTTAGATTACACAAAAATTTTGCATCCCTTCAAAGTCTATCCTATCCTTGGCTACCATAGTATTTTTGACCTTTATGACTCCTTTGGTGGATAAGATCGAAAAGTTTTCATAATTAATAAACTGTTTTAATTGAGTGGTGTCATGATCTGATATTCACTTTAGGAGGTTGATTTTGGCTTGCAGTAAAGATGAGTTGGAGGGCGTGGGTGGAGAATGCATTGGAGGTAGGGGAATCATTTGGAGACTTTTTTTTTTGTACTGGGGATAGAACCCGGGAGTGCTCTACCACAGTTCTACATCCTCAGCCGTTTTTACCTTTTATTTTACTTTACTTTTTTTGGGTACCGTGGAATGAACTCAAGGGCACTCAACCACTGAGTCACATTGCCAGACCTTTTCATATTTTATTTAGACACAGGTTCTCACTGAGTTGCTTAGCACCTCACTGTTGCTGAGGCTGGCTTTGAACTCATGATCCTCCTGCCTCAAGCTCCTGATTTACTGGGATTATAGGCATTTGGCATTGCACCTGGTTTACATTTTATTTTGAGACAGGGTTTCACTAAGTTGCTTAGGGCCTGGGTAAATTGCTAAGGGTGGCCTCAACCTTGTGATCCCTGGGTTTAAGCCTTCTAAATTGCTGGGATTATAGGCATGTGCTACTGTGCCTTGTATTAGGAGACTATTATAATCCAAGTGAGTGAAAAATTGATCTAAACTTCAGAACACAGGACACAGAGAAGAATAGAAACAAAGATTTCTTTCTTTTTTTTTTTTTTTTAGTTGTCAAAAAGCCTTTTACTTATATGTGGTGCTGAGAATCAAACCCAGTGCCTTATGTATGCTAGGCAAGTGCTCTGCTACTGAGCCATACCCCAGCCCAGAACAAAGATTTCTAATTTTGTTAGGCACTTACCATACTACCCACTTGCGATCTTTTAAAATCATCTAAGCATGTAGTTATTGGTCTGTTTTATACCTGCATAAACAATATACATATTCAATAAAATAAAGAAAAATATTGGGTAGGGGTATAGCTTAGCGACAAAAGTGCTTATCTAGGGCTGGGGTTGTGGCTCAGAGGTAGTGTGCTCATCAGGCATGTGTGAGGCACTGGGTTTGATCCTCAGCACCATGTAAGGATAAAATAAAGATATTGTGCCAACCTATAACTAAAAAATAAGTGTTAAAAATGCTTATCTAGTGTGAGGATCTGGATTGGATTCTTAGCACCCCCAAAAAAGTTAGTGATTGTCACTATTATTTAATTTTTTTTGAGGTATTAGAGATAAAATCCAAGGCCTTATAACACTAGATAAATGCTTTACCAACAAACTATATTCCTAGTCAGTTATTTATTTACTTATGGGGGTAGGAATTGAACCCAGGGTCTCTTAACCACTGAGCCACATCCGCAGGCCCCCCCCCCCCTTTTTTTTAAATGTTTTTATTTTGAGACAAGGTCTGCCAAGTCCTTAGGGTTTTGCCAATTTGCTGAGGCTGGTCTTGAATTTGCAATCCTCCTGGCTCAGGATCCTGAGTCCCTAGGATTATAGGTGTGCGCCACCATGCCTGGCCATCCCTAGTCCTTTAATTCTTTGTATTTGTAAAAATGTAATGGACTTCAACATATTCAAATTAGACTATTTTTGCATAGTAATGTATCAATTTGCTGCACTGTTCACATTTTAAGAAACTTACAAGTATTGTCCTTAAGGTGATCTGGACAATAGTCCACATTATATACTGAAGGGGAATCTGCATATCCCATGGTACAGTCTTTGCCTTATTGAAATTGGGTTTTAGAAAATTATGGCAGCTTGCTGTGGTGGCACACACCTGTAATCCTCAGCAGTTCAGAAAGCTGAGGTAGGAGGAGAGTCATGAATTCAAAGCCAGCCTCAGCAAAATCAAGGCACTTAGCAACTCAGTAAGAACCTGTCTCTAAATAAAATACAAAATAGGGCTGGGGATGTGGCTCAGTGATGAGTGCCCCCCGGGTTCAATCCTCGGCATCCAATCCTCCCACTGCCCCAGCAAAAAATGGATGTGGCTAAAAGGTTAACTTTTCATTGTAATTCTCAATATGAAATTATTTAGTTACAAAACATTATCCTCTGTGCCATGTATCCAATTAATTTTCTAATAGGCTCATTTCAATTTTCAAGAGTCTGAACCTTAAAAAACTCACACAGTGCTTTATAACTTTTAAGATTTTGACGTTTTATATTATCTTCTCTGATTATCAGTAATGCTCAGTGAAGCCAGCAATGCTTGTATATCATCCTAGTCCTTCATGTTAAAAAACAAAAACTATACTCACCAGGCATGGTGGGGTATGCCTGTAATTCCCAAGACTTGGGAGTCTGAAACAGGAGGATTGCAAGTTTGAGGCCAGTCTCAGTAACTTAGAGAGAGATCCTATCTTAAAATAAAAAGAACTGGAACTACAGCTCAGTGGTAGAGCATCCCTGGGTTCAATTCCCAATACCAAAACAAAACAAAAAGAGATAATATTACCCATTCATTGTATTATTTTAAGTATTTGATGAATATATGTGAAATTCTTAAGTGTCTATCTCACAGTATGCCCCCAAATAAATATTCAGTTACATATTTATGGTTCTGGCATATCCTATTGGCTTGTAAGGAGGGTCGGGAATCTTCACAACATAAACAGTTGGAAAATTACCAATTGGGTTTTTTTTTTTTTTTTTTTTTTAAAGAAAGAGTGAGAGAGAGTGAGAAAGAGGGAGAGAGAGAATTTTAATATTTATTTCTTAGTATTTGGAGGACACAACATCTTTGTCTGTATGTGGTGCTGAGGATCCAACCCGGGCCGCACGCATGCCAGGCGAGAGCGCTACCACTTGAGCCACACCCCCAGCCCACCAATTGGGTTTATATGTTAGGCAAGTTTAGAAGTGTGTGGGTTAGCGGATATAAAGTGTTTTTAATTCAACAACTACAGGAATATTGTGGCTCAATAATCGCATTAGTTTTAGCTTATATTATATTCCATATATTTTCACAAGGTTGTGGCAAATGTATCTGTAAAGATATATATATATATATATATATATATATATATATATATATATATATATTTATATTTATATTTTAAGAGGAAATCAGTGTATTCTAACAGAAAACTCAGCCTCTTAGATAGCCCAGGTTTGCTTACTGGTGTAAAGATCTGCTCAGTCCTTCTTTGCTTAGAAGACATTAGGGGAAATGCCACCGGACTCAGCTGGGGACTCTGCAGGGAAGTTTAAAAAAAAAAATTGGTACAGCTTTGCAAAACATCTGGTGCTCAGCCATCTGTCTTTGGCAGTACAAGGGCTTAAGGTCTGTGTGTTCTTTCCTACACCTTAGAGGACAGAGTTACACAGCAGAATCAATAAACCTTAGTAGCAAGTAAACTTAGATCTAAGTTCTCAAGGGCCCATAGGCACCTGCGCTTCCAGTTACTCCAATTGAGGTCTCAAGTTCCCGAGGGACACCCCCCCCCCCGCCCCGCCTACTCCCAGTCCAGGATTTCTATGGCAGCCACTTTCAGGTCTCCCCACTGTAATCTCACACCTGCTTGGGGCCGGACTTGCTATGCATACGTGACTTGAATACGGAACAATTTTGCATCCGGAGGTTAACTAGGTTTTACTTGAGAGTTGCTTGTTAAGGGGTTGGGACACGTGGGAACTGCTGTTGTATCTCCCACTGTAGTAAGAAAGGTGAAAGGCCCTCAAAATTCGTGAAGGGAGAACGGATTCAAAACGCTGTCATCGCACGCCCAGACTTCCTTGCCAGGCTAGGCTGGGCATTCTTAGGCCCCACCCATGGCAACGCCACTCTGACGTCCGCGCGCCGGAGGCCGTCATAGGCCAGTGTCGGAGCCCAGGAGGACGTGTGGCGCGTGAACTACATCAGGTCCCACATTAGTCCTGTGGGAACACGGTACGCGCTTCCGGGCAAGGTTCTGTGCACCTGTTCCCCTCCTTCGGTTCAAGTATCTTACCCCTCTGGGAAGAAGGAGGCATGCCTGTCTCCAGAGAACAAGAAGATGGGCCACAGAGAACCTCGTAGAACATAGTGCAAAAGACAGCCCAAAGCTAGAAGGTGCCGGGCACCTTTAAGCTGTTTGGAAGTTCACGTGACTAAGTGCCGGACCCCCAGCAGTCACGTGACGGCGCGCGCGCTCACACGCAGGGAGAGCCGGTCTGCGCTGTGCGCGCGCCGTCGCCGCTGTCTCCCACCCACCCCCTCGACGGGAGGGTGAGGAGCGGCGGAGTGATCAGGCTTCTGAGGCCCTGTGCGCGTGCGCAGCGAACAGCTGTCACCCAGTGCGGAACAAGTCTTCCAAATTTCCCAAATCTCCCCGGGCGGGAGGCCACAGTCTTCCTTCTCATCCTCTTTCTTCGGGTCGTGTCCTCGCCCCACCCGCGCGCCAGGTAACCGCTTTTCCGGAGTCAGGGAGATGGGGGCGGCGGGGGGAGGGGCCCGGGCGATCTTCCCGGGACTGCCCCTCTCCACGCGGGGCAGCTAGGGGTGTGGGCGTCCAGAGGAGCTGAGGCACCGGGGCAGAGACGCTCAGTCTGCTACCGCGGCGACTGTCATGCTGGGGAGGGAGCGGACGGCCATGGTCGCAGGGGAGGGAGGCGGGGGCCAGTGACAGTCCGATCCGGCCCTTACAGGGTTCGGTCCCCGTGCTCGCCATTCTCCCGGGAGCTGGAGTCGGGGTCGTGCTCTTTAGGACAGAGGAACGCGCGGTGTTCTGGGGGTACCGAGTCCTTTACCCTCCCAGCCGGGTCTGCGGCGGACTCCAGGAAGGCCCGGCCTGGTGCGCTCCTCTGGGCCCTCCCTTCCCGGAGACTGTCACGACCCCGCGGAATGAGAGTGGGGGCTCTTCTCTAGACCACCCGTCGCAGGCAGCCAGTTCCTCATTCGGGTTCGTTCTCAGTCACCGCAGCTGTCCTTTTGGTTTTTATTCTTCGGCACGGGGCCATTTCTTCCTGCAGTGCCTGTGAGAGCCACGATGTGGGGTAGACAGTGGGTGCTTAATCAATGCGAGTTGGATCGGGGCGCGTGGACTGCCAGGTACAGGACGTGTTGTGGGGCTAGGATGTACAGCCAGAAGGCAGGCAGGCTGGGCCTCCAGGCTGGAACTTGGGGTGTTTCTTCATGCTCCCTCAGCCATTGAAACCAGCAGGGCTCCACTCCGATGCTTTCTTTCCTCGTGTACTCGGAGCCAGGCTCCCCCCTTAGCTGTGTCCTGTTAAGACTGCACTGGCTGGCTTTGGTTGTGGGCAACAACTAGGGGGTTTTGTCAGGTTCTCCCTTCCGGAGAAAACAGAGCAAACTTTTTTTTGCACTTGGTAAATTACCAATGCGAGGTCATTTATGTAGCATTGCTTCGGAGGTATAAGGTTAGAGTCGCAGTGGGCTCACCCTTGTCCGGGTGAAAGCATTTGATAGGTTCAGTACCCGTAGGTTCGCCCCAAACTTCGCCCTATTTCACCCATTAGAGTTTTTTTTTTTTTAACTTGGCTTCACCGTTTCTATGGCAACGGTTAAGATTCTAATTTCGAAGTGTTGTGGTTGAAAATGAGTGACTTTAATTTTTAAAGGTTCAGTTTTACTATGTAGCACTCAGTTCTTTGAGACCAACCACTCAAATTTGCTACTTTGCTAGTTCCCTCGCAGTCCCTCTCCCCAGCTTTGTTTTGGAATGTATAACACATTTTTTGGTTTAGACCAATTTTAGTGTTATGAAAAGATTGCACCTAATCTTTACAGCACCTCACAACCTTGGTAATAAAACAAAAAAAAATTAAAAATAATTTGTAGTTGTAGATGAACACAATGCCCTTATTTATTTATTTTTAATATGGTGCCAAATATCAAACCCAGTGCCTTACACTGATCAGGTGCTTGTTTTGTTTTGTCAGTGCACTTTAATCCCTTGCTTTTTTAAAGTTTAAAATAAACGTTTTATGGCTTTAGGAGTGTAAATCAGTGGTAGAGCGCTTGCTTGGCATGCGTGAGACCCTGGGTTCAATCCCTAGCTCCAAGAAAATAAAAACATTTGAGGTATCGCAGCGCACAAACCCTTAAAAAAAAAGTCCACCAATTATTCTGTAAGAATGAAGATTTTTAGGAGTTTAACAGGTACTTCATCTTTTCAGAAGTTTCTTCGATTTAAATTTCAATTTAGGGATGAAGATCGGGTAAACTGAGTTATTTTCTGAACACCTTCCATGGGTAGGTTAGGTGCCTCTTTCCTTTTCTCATTGTTTTGTAAATACTTTGCCTCACTTTTCTCCCCCACCAGACTGTTAAAGCCTTGAGATCAGTTTTTTTTTCCCCTCCCTCTCTTTTCTTTTAGTAATTAAGCCTGAGGTGCTTAAAATATTCCTTTATTGAGAAACAAATTTACCTATCTAAAATGTACAACTCAATAGTTTTTAGTATGTGCACAGAACAATTTTAGAATATTTTTGTTTTTATTTTTTGGTACCAGGGATTGAAGCCAGAGGCACTAAACCACTGAGACCCATCCCCAGCCCTTTTAATTTTTATTTAGACAGGGTCCTGTTAAGTTGCTTAGGGCCTAAGTTGCTGAGACTGGCTTTGAATTTTTTTTTTTTTTTTGGGTACGGGGATTGAACTCAGGGGCACTCAAACACTGAGCCACATCCCCAGTCCTATTTTTTGTTTTATTTATTTGTTTCATTGAGTTGCTTAGCGCCTCAGGCGGGCTTTGAACTTGAGATCCTCTTTCTGCCTCAGTCTCCCTAGCCACTGGGATGACAGGCATGCATCACTGCGCTCCAGCATGGCTTTCAACTTTGAGATCTTCCTGCCTCAGTTTCCTGAGCTGCAGGGATTATAGGTGTGTGGGACTATGCCCTTCTCTGTAGAATACTCATGTCACCTTCCAAAATAAACCTTGTTTTCATTACAGCCATTGCCCATTTTCCTCCAACTTCCTCCCCCTCCAGCTTTGGAATCGGCTTTCTGTCTTAATAGATTTGTTTGTTCTGGACATTTCATATAAATGAACTGTACCCTAGTTGATGTTTTGTGACTGGCTTAATTTGCATATTTTCAAGGTTCATCCTTGCTGCAGCCTGAATCAGCACAGTATTCGTTTTAATGGCGCAATAATATTCCATTGTATGGAAATATGACATTTCATTCATCAGTTGATGGACTTTCAGGTGATGGACTTTCGGACGGATTGTTTTTACTTTTGTTCTTTTATGAATAATGTTGCTGCTATGAACATTTGTGAACTAGTTTTTTTTTTTTTTAATTTATTATTTTTTAGTTGTAGGTGGACACAGTATGTTTGTTTTATTTATTTTTATGTGGTGCGGAGGTTGGAAACCAGGTCCTCCCACGCGCTAGGAGAGTGCTCTACAGCTGAGCCACAACCTCAGCACCCCCGAACTAGTTTTTAAAAAAAATATTTTTATTAGTTGTTGATGGACCCTTATTTTATTTACTTATTTATATGTGGTGCTGAGAAACGAACCCAGTGCCTCACACATGCTAGGCAAGCACTTTACCATTGAGAGCCACAACCCCAGCCCTGTGAACTAGTGTTTTGTGTGGACTTATGTTTTATTCACTCTTATACACAGTGGTGGGATTACTGCATTAATCATCTTTTGAATGAACAGATGAACAAGGAACAATAGTTAGTCTTAAGGGATATTCTTTGGAGACATTAGAGGGGCCCATTGACTTCCTTGCTCCACTACCAAGTGTACTTCTCTATTTATAGGCCTAGAACTCTCTAGAGGTTTTGTCCTGTAGTTTGTGCTATTCCTTCTCTGAATATTATTAAGACCATTCCTTTCTATAGCATAGTTTTCATACTGCTCATGGCTAGTCCCTTATATTCATTTATTTGTTATGTATTTATTAGTGATATAATGATAAAACAGGTACATTCCATACAGCAATTAAGCTCTGTGTAATGCAGGTCTCTCAAGCTTTAAAAATTTGTTGTTCCTTTTATTTTAATTTTTTCTCTTCCTTTTTATTTAAATGTTAATATTTAATGCTTCTCCTGTTATCCTATTTCTGATATGAAATTCTTGGGAGGTATGACATGTAGCTTTTTTTTTTTTTTCCCCCCTCACTGCTGGGGATTGAACCCAGGGCCTTGCACATGCAGTGTGTCTTTTTATTCCTACTGGTCTAGAAAGAAAGTTATTTGGAGCATATGATACAAATTTGAAATATTAGCTTTTTTTTTTTTTTTTTTCAACTCTTAATTCCCAAGGATTCCTTACACCCTGTTCTCTCTGCCCATTAAAGATGTCCCTTTCTGGGCTGGGGATGTGGCTCAAGCGGTAGCGCGCTCACCTGGCATGCGTGCCGCCCGGGTTCGATCCTCAGCACCACATACAAAACGGAGATGTTGTGTCCGCCTATAACTAAAAAATAAATATTAAAAAAAAAATTCTCTCTCTCTCTCTCTTAAAAAAAAAAAGGATTTAAAAAAGATGTGCCTTTCCAAATCCATCCTTGCTAGGCCTAATCCCTTCCTCTCTCAAGCAGTCAGTATGATCCTTTTAAGGATTATGTTCTTCCTTCAAGTCCTCTTTCACTGAGGAACCAGTCATAATTCTCAGATCTACTTATGAGATTTTGATTAGCCAATGGCCTTCTTCCCATTGGACTCCTCTGACTTCTTATTTCTCTAGGCCTGGTACCCAGCTCACACTCCTGTTCCCTCTGCCTACACTGTTACCTTGACCTGCACTGCCCTGTCTGGTTGGTTCCATCCCTTTCAGAAAACAGTCCAATTGTCTCTTCTTCAAGTTAGTCTCCCTCAATCCTGCACACTTGCCTTAGTAGCATTCTGTAATGTCCTTCACACTCTTAAACAACCATGCCATTACTTGTCCTTTTCTTCCTTCTCCACCTTCATGAATGCAAAGAGAAAGGGCCACACAAAAATATTAACAGTAATTAGTTATTTCTGAATGATGGAATTGTGGATAATTTGTTTCCTTAGTGTTTAAGTGTATTTTCTAATTTTCTCCTGTGGAGGATAGTTAATTAAAAATCCATGTTTATTAGAAATTTGGAAAACTGGAGCAGATGGAAGGAAAAAGAAAAGTTATCAGTATTGTCATTTTTATTTTGGTAAAATTTCTTCTAACAGTTTTCATTTTGTTTTAATTACCTAGATGAAATTTTACTATAACTTCATCTAGCTTTTTTGGGGGACCAGGTGATGGTACTAGAGATTGAACCCTAGGCACTTTACCGGTAAGTTATATCCCTGGGCAACACCCACCCCCATCTTTGAGATGGAGCCTTGCTAAATTGTTGAGGATGGCCTGGAACTTGTGATCCTTCTGCCTGGGATTGCAGGCAAGCATTTCTACTCTGCTGACATGAAACTTTTATTTTGATTTTTTTCCCTCGTATC